CTCATAGCAAAGGCAATATTTCTTTATTTCAGAATCCAAAAGCTATTAAACAAATTAAGAAAAGGACTTATAATGAACTAAATGAAGATGAATCTATTCAGAACGAAGGTCTAACTGAAGATACATGGTTTTCTTATTACAGGACATATCCAATTTTAGTTCGTTATCTTCATCGCAAGATTAAATTACATCATAAAAAAAAAATTGCATTTGATAATAAAACTTTGCTAGCAAATCAAACAGTTGGTGAAGATTATCTTCCAGATATTACAAATACACCTATTACTGAAAATAATCTGATTGTTATTGAACGATATATTGATTATTTTATGAAAGATTGGGAAGTTTGCAAAAATACTAATGGTATGTAATAGTTACTTATTTTGGTTTTTGTTTTAAAACTTACTATATATTTTATCTTTTAAGAGTTAGCATTTGAACAACCCTGGACACATGAAGTAATTACAGACATTGCAGTTCAATATTTCTACCATCTACATAAAGATTATCTTGTTTTAAAAAAAATTCTGATGCTTTTAATGATCGAAATGTTAAACAACGCCATGATAATCGCCTTAGTATTGTAAGATAAAAATTTTACAAATTTTAGGTATATATTTCGAAATTTTGATTTGAATTTTATTTTTTAGAAATCTAAAGCACTTTTAAAAGCCTTGGATCAATATTCTGATAATGAAGATTTGTGCTATTCAAAAGAAAAAATTATGCTTATTCTTCATAAACATTGTATGTCACCAGAACTAACAGATAAGGAATATCAAGAACTTTATCTGCAAGATAAAAAGCAATTAATTGTTGTACTTATGTATTGGCATTCAGATGAGATTAGGCAATTAACTCTATTTTTTAAATTATTTTACTTATTACAAGTGATTCAATTTATTTAAAATTTTTATTATATAAAGCATAAGCAATTACAAACTATTTTAAATAAAAAAGCTGGTATTCAATGCCCGAGCAACTGGTCACCTTTTTCAAAAAGGAAAAAAAAGGATAATGGTATATTAAGGCGTGTTCATCCTGAATCAGATTATTCGCAATATGATAAATTAATTAGTTTCTTACCTGATAAGCTATCTTTTCTTCCTGATTGGGCTTAATGTTAATATAATAGTAATATTTGTTTTTTTTGTTGATTACTATATATTACTATATACAGCAGTGATGGCAAATAACAAAGTCATTAAAATTTTTATGAAAATGACCATAAATAACATATCATTTTAAAATGACAATGTTATTTATTATTAAAAAATTTTACACAAAACCATAGCAAAATGTCAAGTATAAAAAATATTTTTATAAATGACATTAAAATGACAAATAAATGACAATAATATCAATACTAAATATTCTTAAGAACCAAAATACTGTTGCAATAATCAGCACTATTTAATGCAAAAATTACATACGTGTATACAGTTGGCTCCAAAAGTTTATTATAGTTATACAAAAATAATATACAAAATCAATGATAAAATATTAATGAATACAACTGACTCTTAATATAAAAAAAGTCACCGGGTCTAGTCAAAATCCTTCTTATATCAAAACTTTCTTATATCAAAGACTTATAAAATTTTCAAATGAAACTTGTAAAATTTTTATTATGCCAAGAGCTTCTTATATCGAATCTATTGAAGGTTTCCTATATCAAGAGTTACTTGTATATACATAATCATAAATTTGTGTTGTTTTTTGTATAACCATGATAAACTTTTGAAGCTGACTGTACATACATGTATATATACAACTTTGTAATTTATTAAATTTATTATGCTGAGATAATAACTTAATCAGATTAGCTAAAAAATCATTCAGCTAATTTTTATCAGGTGCTTCAGAAATTATGATAATAGCAGTAAGAAAAATTTTTTTTCAAAAGTAAAAGTAAGAATAAAACAAACAAATCTATTATTTTGACATATTATAGGTGGCGAAGCCAACCTGCATGATCATATTTTAATTACTAGATAAAAATAAAACATAAATGATTACCACCTATTGATCATACTTATATCCTATAAAATAGTGCTTCACCTCAACTTGTTGACCAAAAAAATTATTAACTAATACAGAATCACAACATATATTTTATCAATTCTAGTACACAACAATATTTGATTAAATATATGTCACACTTTAAATAATGTGATTCAAACTGCAAGCAGACGATTTCATTGTCTGCAAATATAATATTGCTAGTTGGTTAATAAAAATTATTTATTAACTATAAATGACATGATAGTTATAAAAAATAAATGATTTTTTTATGACAAAAATGACTTGTTATATGACAAGATGTCATTTATTTTTAAATGACAATATGCCATCACTGATATACAGTATGTACATATTATATTCTAGCCTTTTAGAAAATATTCTGGTACTAATCAAGTAGTCAAAATTGATGATCCTGTTATGTGACCAACTCTATGCCTTCCTTGTATATTCTATCTTTTTTTTTTTTTTTTTTAATATTAATGGTGAGACCATGTCTCTAACTTTATTAAAATTTAATTTGATTCTTCTACA